AGCCTGGCCTGGATTCCTCGGGATTTGCGTGATTGGAGTATAACCATAATCCTAAGACACATTCCAAGTAGATTTGACTTGAAGGCACATAACAAGAAGAATTATATAGACATCTTTAAGATTGATTTTTTTTCTTGGCAAGGCTTATTCAGAAGAGGTGCATCATTGGGTTGTTGTAGGTTTTTTCGGGCTATACGACCATGGTCCAGAGGCATTCTCCCCTGACATTTCGCCAGTATCTATGGCAAGCATCCTCACTATCTCTGGCAAGGTCAGACCTCACTACCTCTGAGGATGCTTGCCATAGGTGCAGGCGAAACGTCAGGAGAGAATGCCTCTAGACCATGACCATATAGCTCAAAAAAACCTACAACAACCCAGTGATTACGGCCATGAAAGCCTTCGACAATACAGGTACATCATTGCCTTCCTCTGAAGCTGAGTGTGTGCTTTCCTCAAGGTCACACAGTGAGTTTCTAGGGCTGAGTGAAGCTTCCACTCCACATCACCCAGCACTCAAATCCCAAGACCACACAGGAACCTTTAAAAGGAGGTTTGCCTTTGTCTTCCTATAAAATTGAGCAACTTCCTATAAACTTCCTTTAAAGTTTTGAACAAGACTTCCTATAAAGTCTTGTTCAAAATTATCCAGAGCCAAGGGCAGATTTGCTCCTTGGTCTCCTAAACTCTTGGTGTGACCCTCAAACCAGGACTCTCGCAATTATGATAAAATAAAGAACCAATAAAATATTTTTATTTCATTTTAATGTCAATCTTAGGATTTTAAAGTGTGGATATTATATACTTTGTGTTGTACGTGATATATGAAATATTCTGTAGCAGTACTGTGTAATATTCAGACCGTAACTACCTTCACATATTTTATAAATAACTAATCTAGCCACCCTAAAGTGAAGAAATTGTAGGGTTTTCTTGACAAGATTTATTCAGAAGAGATTTCCCTTTGCCTTCCTCAAAAGCGGAGGTTGTCTGCACTCAGTGGATTGCCATGGCCAACCAGGGATTTGAACCCTGGTATTCTGATGTCATAGTCTAACATTGAAACTGCTATATCACAATGGCTCTCAAAAAGGTTAATACATTCTGTCACTGTTTTATAGATCTTTACACAGCTCCATATCACCCTTCTTCTATATGCAGAAGAGTTTGTGTGTATGAATATTCATGAGGGAAACCATTTTATTTATTAAAATATGTATCTCTTGCCTTTTTGCTCCAGGTCCATCCTCCGCTGCTCCACAAGGAAACTCCTAGCTGAAAAGAATGGTTTGACTGACTGTAATATGAATTTAATAAAATAGGGAACATAAACTTTAAATTTTAATTTTAACCTCCACAGATTTCAGGGAGTTGATCTTTTCCACTCTTTTAATGTTTCTCTTTTTGTCCTTCAATTTTCAGTGTCCATTTTGAATTCTGCAGTTTCCCTACACTCATACTTCAGATACTTTGAGCTTTTACAAAACCCAATAAATGAATTCTCTCATTTAAACTCTGCAGTTGTTTTGTCTCAGACAATGATTTGGGCTAGGAAGTAGGTTGACTCAGCTATTATTTTCATTCATCCCTCCTTGGCAGAAATCAGCAAAACAGCAACTCTCTCCTAATGGCATCAAACCACAAACCACTTGCTCATTAATAATTTCCTTGACATCAAGGGACCATTGAATAGTAAATGTTTTGTGGATTGCAACCATTTGTGAGCAGACTTTACTTGGACCAGTTTTATGACCTACCAATTTTGACTCCCCCATTCATCTCCCCAGCCTAGCCCTCTGTGTTACGATGGCCTGAAGGTGCATCTGAAGGTAAGCAAGTGTTGTCCTCTAAGTGTTTGGAATGGAAAGCTCTCTTGGAACTGCTCATAAGCATTTCTGAAATCCTGGAAAGAATGTAATGTAAGTTTAAGAAATAAGCCAACCTTCATTAGAATATCAATCCATTCAAATTTTAATTTTGTAACTCATCCCACTTTCATTTGCTTACATAATTCAAATGCAAACAAGGGTAAACAAATAATAAATAAAACACAACAAACCCGTATCATCTTCTGATAGTCTAGGCCAGAAGTTCTCAAACTTTTTCAGTCATGGAGAATGTTTGAAATGTGAAATTCAAGGCAAAGCACTAAATTTCATCTCGCAGATACAGTCTACTTCTGTGTCTGTCCAGCAGCAGAATGTATTGTCTGTGTGCAGTGTGTATCCTTCCAATATTTTGGTTCCCAAGAGTCAACTAGTGAACTATAGAATTTATAGTTTTTGTTTCACATGGAAGGTGTTAAATATATTCTATACTCTATTCAGTATTTTTCTGCATACCACTCATGGGCGCAAAAAACCCACTGTATTGAGAATTTTTCCTCCATGTATTTCTAAATAATAATAATAATAATTTTAAAATCCTTGTCTTTTCACAGAACTCTTGAAATTGTTTCATGGAGCACTAAGTGCTCCATGGAGCATTGTTTGAGAAACTCCGGTCTAGACAAATGAGAGGTAGATTTTTTTGTAACAATTTTCATAATATCTACAGAGTTATGAGTATGGAGAAGTGTTTATTTCCTTTGTATTGATAAAAGGTACATTTATTTTGTTCTGGATTCTACCAGTCTCTTCTGTGCATTAGAAGCTAGGACAATATTAAGCTGTGGCTGAGTCTAAGCACTCCAGAGGCAAAGACAGAGAACATTTAGAGTAGAAGGATGGAATTATTTGGATTTATCAAGGATACATCTACACCAGACATGGGCAAACTTTGGCCCTCCGGGTGTTTTGAACTTCAACTCCCACAATTCCTAACAGCCAGTAGGCTGTTAGGAATTGTGGGAGTTGAAGTCCAAAACACCTGGAGGGCCAAAGTTTACCCATGCGTGATCTACACCGTAGAATTAATGGAGTTTGGCATCAATATAAGTGCCATGGCTCAGTGCAATGGAATCTTGGCATTCTTGGTTTGATGAGGCACCAGAACTCTTTGCCAGAGAAGGCTAAAGATGTAAAATTACAACTCCCATAACTCCACAGCATCAGGCCTTGTTAGTTAAAGTGGCATCAAACTGCATTAATTCTCTAGTGTAGATACAAGCCAAGTTTCCAAGTATGCAGTAGCTTTACCCTGATTGGGACCAACAGATAGATTTAAGATGGAGTTCTCAGTGTTCAGTTTCCAACAAAAAAAAGGATAACAGGTCTGACGCAATCAACACAAGATAATAGTGAAAACTTTACAGCGACTGGCCAACCATTTTTTCTCAACCACCGACATCAAGCATTATTTTGCAGTTGTGCATCAGTCAGTTCCAAAGTTTGAACACTCGTTATGATAATCCCATAACCTTGGCAGTAATGCGAGACCAAAAATGCAAGAAGCTGTGTTGAATCATAACAAACTTCAGCAATAATTTCATCTACACCACAAGCAGATGTTTTGTGAAGCCACTGGATTTCAATTATCCATTGATGATTAAGCCAACCCAAAATTTCAACAAGAATAGCTGGCAATAATGTACTATTGGTAGTTAAAAAAAAAACAACCCCAAAGGTACTGTGAAAATTGCAGTAAGTTTAGAAGACAGAAAGGAGTGGGGCAAGTAGGGAAGAATATAAAACATGCTCATCCCTGCTGATAAAAAAGAACTTCTGCATTTGACCCCTGTGAGTCATGGTTCCATTGTGCTATTGTCACCCTGCCAAAAGTTTAATTAATTGGGTTGGAAAGTACTGGTGGGTCACAGAAACCTTGGGATGGGTCTCTTGTCAGCATCCATAGCTATTGCTGAAATTTTGACGACAGCACTAATAATGCCTAATTAGCAGCATCATTTCCCTGAAAGTATAAATGAGTGGGTTGGTTCACATGGTGGCAGGCCAAAGGATTTTTGATGTATGCCTAGAGTATTTGTTAATAAATAATTTACTACAAAAATTGATAAGAACCATTTGTAGAAACATCAACCCATAAACCTCAGAAGAACATAAGATTCTGGATTAAATAGAAAGCCAGGATTCTGTTCCCATATGCTTCTGGGAAGCTCCCATGTGGCGCTTGAGCACAATAAATGTAAACATTGTCTGAAATGCATTTAGAAATGCATCTTAGGCATCCAAACAAAAGAGGCAAGAAAGGTTACCAAAAGGATGCAAACAAAGCAGCTAGAAAAGGTCTGGATGTGAATGATTTTTTAATGTTTCATTCTCTACAAAGCTTGGAATTTGGGGACTGAATTAAAAATTCCATTCTTACTTGTGGGGGGGGGGGAGTGTCCACTATAGCTACATCCCTGAGTAATACCATGATCTGTACATGCCTGCTTGGAAATAAGTCATACTGAATTCAGTGTGACTTATGCTTATATTAAAAAGAGCATGTAGGAGGGTAGTCTGCATCCAATGAACCTCTGAACGTTCAAAGTACTGCATTGACAAAGACCTAAATTATGAAGAATGATCAGAATCTGGCAAAAGTACTTTTGTGAACTACAGTTCCCAGAATCCCCATGTTAGCTGGGGAATTCTAGGAACTGTGGTTAAAAAAAAAACAGTTTCAAGCTCCAAGAATAACAAACCCAGCATGAGAAAGTAAGCAGAGGAACAGGGGTAGAAACTGAAGCATGACAACATGATGATGTGTTTTTGGAACATGTCCTGTTGGAAAGTTCCTTTTTATACAATTTCTTGGATTCCCAAGATTGGTGCAACACAGTGCAAAGAACCTTTGCATTTATCTGTACATCAAGTGACATGAACATTTGGGGTTTCTACACAACCATGACAAGAATTTTCACCAAAATTTCCCGATCCTGATCCCCACACACATTAAAGTTTAAATTACAGTGCATTCTGGTGTTTTCTATTTTCTGGAACTCAGTTGTGCATTGGTTGAGGGGAGGGTTGGAATGGATGTCTCCAAATCTCTTTGGGAAGATCTATTCAGGTGCTCCATCTAGGAACCTTTGAACTTTCACAACTGTGATAACAGTCTTGAGGAACATCTTTTCATTTTATTTCAGTCAAAGTATAGTGAGGTCCCCAACGTCCCTGCTAGGTGAGGAAGATATTGAAGCAAGGTCTGGTTTTGTTGAAGAGGAGGAATCCTGTGGGTGGCAGCCAACTACAGTTCCCCACAGAGCGCCTTCCCTTTCCATTTTCTTCTGCTTCATTCGGCGGTTCTGGAACCAGACCTTTACCTGGATCTCCTTGAGGCCTAAGGCTGAAGCAATCTCCACCCGACGGGTTCGGCTCAGGTATTTGCTGAAGTGGAATTCCTTCTCCATCTCTGTCAACTGCTTGGTGGTGAAGCTGGTTCTGGGAGACGATGGTGAGGTTACTTCCAGTGTGCTGCCCTGCAGTTTCACTGGGGATGAAAAGAGAAGGAAGCATTTTGTCAAACACAGCTCCATTGCAAGTTTTAATTTGCAATTTCCAGTTTCCCTTCTTCTTGTTTTTATCCTTCATTCATTCATTCATTCATTCATTCATTCATTCTGTTTTCCCATTTTTTTTTAGCATGGATGCACAATGCAATCTACATTTAAAATAGCTTTTTTGTTCTGCACACCTGTGCCTGTTGAAGAATCTGCAGTGTGGAAGGTGTACAACATTGTCAATGATGACTCATTGGGGCAAATGCACTTTCTGGGCAGGCCAGTACTAGTTGCACCTTCAGGATATAACCAGAAAGGTTCAAAGCCGAAGTCGAGGCAAAACTCCTTGTGTACCTTTAGTGCTATGCAGGAATCCCCATGAAAATTATGCAAACTATATTCAGCCATTCCTTTTTTCCCTTTGGCAAGATGGCAGCCCATGCCAGGCATTCTGGTTCAGTTCATTTCATTGACATTTATCTCTCATACACAGACACATATTTCCCCAGTATATGTGTCTGGACTGTGTAAGATCCAATGTATCTAAAGGAGAAACTCAAGATATTTTTGCAGTCTGGGGCAAATGACAATATGGTGCCCATATATACCTGTTGATTGATCTGACAGCTGACAACTTTCAACATTGTGGCACTGGCATTGCTACAGAGCTCTCGTGAAGGAAGCAGGTAGGCTTAGAGAGGAGGCAAATCATGCCCAAAGCTCTGCCCACCAACACCCTTGCATTCTAGTTCCCAGTATCTAATAGTGGCCGAAGTTTCCATGTCCATGAGGAGGTGAATCCACATTGGCTCTTGGATCAAACTTTATGGAAGCTACTAGCTGTATCTAGCCACGTGTTGCTGTAGCCCATTGTGGAGAAATGGGAAAGAAAGAAAAGAGGAAAAGCTGGTTTCTAAGCTATCAATACACAACTGAAGTGGCAAAGTGTCAGCCTAATATAAGCCCATTTCAGTCTCCTCGAGGCCAAAGGGTTATATGGATATGTGGAAGGGCCCTGGGTTACCTGAGTCTACACTACCATATAACCCAGTTCAAAGATATTATATAGGTATTATTATTGTGGTTGTTATTATAGACATATAGATATTATAGGTATATATATATATATATATATATATATATATATATATATATATATGACACAAATATTATTAAAGGCATATGGGTATTATTATTATATATGTTATTTATTTGTTTATTTTGTATCAAACGCATTGCATAAATTAGTATAAAACTGATAAAAATACAAGGAGCACAGGGCTAAATAACAGGGCAACAGATGTATGGATATTATTATAGACCTATACATATTATTATAGGCATATAGATATTATTATTATTATTATTATTATTTAGCTATTATTATTATAGATGTATACACATTATATGCATATAGATATTATTATTATTATTATTATTATTATAGACATAGATATTATAGGCATGTAGGTATTATAGGTGTATAGATATTATTGACAGACAGATATTATTATTATAGTCATATGGATATTATTATAGACCTATAGATATTATTATAGGCATATAGACATTATTATTACAGACATACAGATATTATTATAGACATGTAGATATTATTGTTATAGACATATACATATTATTATGATAGATATATAGATATTATTATTGTAGATATTATAGCCCAGGGTTGCTATAAAGTAAAAATGGATGACCATCTTTCGGGAGTGTTTTGATTGTGCCTTCCTGGACAGCCTTTCCTAACTCACAGAGTGTGCGTTTCCTGTTTTTGTCCTTTCTTTGAATACTGGACTTCTTCCCATAACTCAATATGGGTGAGCTTTCTGGGAGTTGAAGTATGTAGAGATATGTGTGTGCATATAGGTGTGTGTGTGTGTGCCTACACATACACACACAGAATCCCTCCCGTGAATGTTGCACTGTGAATTACCACACCAAATGGCACCAAACCTAATGTCACCACTGTCTTGAGCAATGGGCAGTAGTCCATAGGGGTATGCCTGCTCGGTTTAGAGATCTTACCTGGAAGTCACCAACCAGAGACTACAGATGACATGGGCTCTTTGGGTCCATAGAAGTTGGTGCCATAATAATAACTCTGGGCTTTAACGTGACACAGGACTCTGTGTTTGCTGCCAGGAGACACCCATTAATCAATCAATCAATTAATTAATTAACCATATTTGTATACCGCCTTTCTCAGCCCGAAGGCACTCTATACTATACTACTATAGTCATACAGTTGGCTTGTATGAATGGGGCTGTCAAACAAAGAATGGTTCTGATTGGTTGCTGTGAGTTTTCCAGGTTGTATGGCCATGTTCCTGAAGCATTCCCTTCTGACGTTTCACCCACATCTATGGCTGGCATCCTCGGAGGTTATGAGATCTGTTGGAAACTAGGCAAGTGAGGTTTATGTATCTGTGGAATAATGTCCAGGGTGGGAAAAAGAACTCTTGTCTGCTTGAGGCAAGTGTGAATGTTGCAACTGGCCACAACCTCTGAAGATGCCTGGTATAGATGTGGACAAAATGTCAGGAGAGAATGCTTCTGGAACGTGGCCATACAGCCCGGAAAACTCACAGCAACCCATCAGAATCACTCTTTGTTTGACAGCCCAGTTTGTACAAACTAATGGGTGTCTCCCTGGCAGAAAACACAGTTACAGCCCGGAAAACTCACAGCAACCCAGTGACTCAGGCAATGGAAGCCTTGAAATGAAGTTCAACAGTGACAAATGCAAGATACTCCACTTAGGCAGGAAAAAAAATGAAATGCAAAGAGACAGAATGGGGGATGCCTGGCTCGACAGCAGTACATGTGAAAAAGATATTGGAGTCCTCGTGGACAACAAGTTAAACATGAGCCAATAATGTGATGCAGCAGCAAAATAAGCCAATGGGATTTTGGCCTGCATCAATAGGAGTATAGTGTCTAGGTCCAGTGAAGTCATGCTACCCCTCTATTCCACTTTGGTTAGACCACACCTGGAATATTGTGTCAAATTCTGGGCACCACAATTGAAGACAGATATTGACAAGCTGGAATGTGTCCAGAGGAGGGCGACTAAAATGATCAAGGGTCTGGAGAACAAGCCCTATGAGGAGCGGCTTAAAGAGCTGGGCATGTTTAGCCTGAAGAAGAGAAGGCTGAGAGGAGATATGATAGCCATGTATAAATATGTGAGAGGAAGTCACAGGGAGGGGGGAGCAAGCTTGTTTTCTGCTTCCCTGGAGACTAGGACGCAGAACAATGGCTTCAAACTACAAGAAAGGAGATTCCATCTGAACATGAGGAAGAACTTCCTGACTGTGAGAGCCGTTCAGCAGTGGAACTCTCTGCCCCGGAGTGTGGTGGAGGCTCTTTCTTTGGAAGCTTTTAAACAGAGGCTGGATGGCCATCTGCCAGGGGTGCTTTGAATGCAATATTCCTGCTTTTTGGCAGGGGGTGGGACTGGATGGCACATGAGGTCTCTTCCAACTCTTTGATTCTATGATCTGTCAGGGGTGGTTTGAATGCAATATTCCTGCTTCTTGGCAGGGGGTTGGACTGGATGGCACATGAGGTCTCTTCCATATCTATGATTCTATGATTCCACAACACAGTGATTCTGATGCCTGTTTTGTTTCCTCACAGAAGTCATGAACACTCAAGTCCAGACATAAATCAGCCTCTTCCTCTCCCCTATTTTTACCTAAACTTCCAAGTGGTGCCTGTCTTTTTCCTCCAGCTCTATGTAGTTCTATGAAGCCAGGCTTCATCCAAAGTTGGGGAGCTCCTTTGAAGAAACAACCCTTAAACAGGATGCAAAAGGAATGGAATGAGCCCCATTGAAAGGGGAGCAGCAGGGCTTTGACAGATGTAAGGGGTCAGATGGAGGAGCTGTGTTTACAGATCTCTAAAGGGTTTTTTTTAAGTCTCCTCTCTTTGAAATGAACCCAACCTTTTTCTCACTCCTCCTTCTCCCTCTTTCCATCCTGTCTCCAAGACTTGGGTGAATTCAAGCCCTCCATTTCGCCTCCTGCGTGGCTGAAGTTTTAACTCCGGTTGTGTTCATTTCTTCCCTGCCTTTCCACACACTTTCCCCAAACCACTGAAAATGGATAGTTTGTCAAAACTCGATTTTTAGAAAAAAAGGAAACCAATCCCCTTTTTCTGCCCTGTAATTTTATTTTGTCTCTAGATACTAGTGCTTCTCTACCATCCAAATCATCTTTGGGCTTGGAAACCAGGGAATGCAACGACGTTATTAACGATCCCAWGCAAACGCAATTCTGGATCTGGTCCCAGGCAGCCCTAGAGAACTATCCATATCTATCTACAGCTTATTTAARACATATTCATTTCACAGCTTTCGGTTTTTTAAATAATAATTATTATAAAAAAGTGATCACACCTATTCACAGAATAAAAAGGTCGTTGTTGTTGTTGTCGAAGGCTTTCATGGTCGGAATCACTGGGTTGTTGTGAGTTTTCCGGGCTGTAGGGTCATGAAGCACTTTCTCCTGACGTTTTGCCTACATCTACGGCAGGCATCTTTAGACCTCACAACTTCTAAGGATGCCTGCCATAGATGTAGCTTTCGGTTTTTATTATTATTATTATTATTATTATTATTATTATTATTACAAAGAAGTGATCACAACAATTCACAGAAGAAAAAGGTTGTTMTTGTTGTTGTCAAAGGTTTTCATGGCCGGAATCACTGGGTTGTTGTGAGTTTTCCGGGCTGTATGGCCATGAAGCACTTTCTCCTGYCGTTTCGCCTACATATAATGGCAGGCATCCTCAGACCTTACAACTTCTAAGGATGCCTGCCATAGATGTAGCTTTCYGTTTATTATATTATTATTATTATTATTATTATTATTATTATTATTATTATTATTATTATTATTATTACAAAGAAGTGATCACAACAATTCACAGAAGAAAAAGGTTGTTGTTGTTGTCCAAGGTTTTCATGGCCGGA